ACTGTAGAAGAATCCTAAGCCCAACAACAAGATAGTATATATATATATATATTTGATTTTAAATTCTGACACTGTGGTTGTAACAGCTGGGATTTGGTCTTGATATAAAGGCTAGTGTGTTATTCGTGATGGATCTCCCCACAAGTACTTAAGTCAGCTTTAGATTGAAATTCACGGTCCAAGAAATTGCAAGTGATTTTTGATATTAATCTTTAATGGCATTTATGCTATTTTATGATGTCTTACAAGATGGTGATGTCTTATGATGTCTTACAAGATGGTTGTGTGAACAATTACACATGTTATATACAGGAAATGAAATAAAAATATGTCTGTAATAGAAAAAATGTCAAAAGCTGTGAAAATAAAACTGTAGAAAAGGAAAAGTCTTTCTAACATTTATTTCATACAGTGTTATGACTCAAGGTATGTAAAAACAAAATATGTAAGGAAAACAACAGAGAAAAAGAACTGAACTTAGCAGTCTTTTAGTCTTGTGCAAACAAAGAAATATATTTTTGAGGATCAGATATAATTAAACCACCATCTGTTTAGTTGTAAAAGTCACTACTAAGGAGAAAGTGGTTGTTTGGGGAAAGGAATGAAAATTACTGTTATTATTATTACTATTACTATCTGAAGTAAAGATTTCATTTGAAAAACCGCTTGTTGCTACTACTAGGACTAATCAAAAGCTCTAAAACTACAACATTCAATAAGTTATTTTTTAGCTTAATTCATGCTTATTTAAAAAAAAGGCTTATTAGAGGTACATTCATGGGTAGCTAAAGATCTTGAAATAAGAACTAAATATGTTTGTTAAGTTTTAAGTGTGAGAACTAGTTGCTGACTGGAAACTACAGCCGAGAAATGCAGAATTCTGAAAGCAAAGAAACTCTACTCATAAATAAATAGCAACTTACCCGTAATGATACCTCCAGCTGTTTTTCATCTATAACTCTTAATTTGTTCTTAGAGATTTACTTTGATAATTGTACTTAGTACATTCTCGTTGCTTATTTTAATAACTGTTGAACTAACTTAATACACATCACACCTTATTGTCTTTTAATTATGGTGTAATGAAAAAAACAACCAATACTAAAGTGTTTTTATCATCATTTTCATCAGTTTGTAATCATACCCTATTCATACACACAGCCAGTCTTTTGTTATTTAAAACTGTATCTGTTTGCTAGTCTACCAAAAAGATAAGGAAAAACAATTACATAACATGAAGAAAAAAAAGAAACACGTTTTATTGTGAAATGATCTTGTAAACACTCCAAACAAATGTCTTTTAACACAAACATTAATTCAAAATAGGATATACTAGAGATAAATGCAGATAAATAAAGGGGAGAAACTCTTTTCTGAGGTTGATACACAAGTGGTTTGGTGCAGTTCACTGTTTTACATTCAGCTAGCAGTCTGGTCTATCTTTACATGCAATCTGGTATGCTAATGTAGGTCGTATAATATTAATTACAACCATTTTTAACTTGGCCTTTTTATGTTTCTCAATGATCTTTAGAGTACAGAAACACTAAACACAACAAACTTTCTGTAACATGTTTTGTACTAACCTTTTTACAAGAAATCACATCACATATTATTTCAGTTAAAGATCCCATTTTATTTTCCATTTCTTCTTTTTTCTCTAAAACTTTAAAATATTTCTCTTGTTGCTCCATTTCCTCCTGAAATTCCACAATAATAATTTTCTGTAAACTAATATTTGGTAACATTTTAAATAAGTTACGGATAAATTATCAGATACATATATATATACAGTATGTATAAGTTCCACAAAGTTATTAACACAGTGAAAATATTATTAAATATCAACAAATTCAACTCAGAGTGCAGTTATGTAAAAACTATTCAATATAACTTCTTCATATTTCTAGTTCAACAATACATCAAATACAAAAGTACAATAGCCAAAACAAGTTTTTCAACTAGCAGTTATTTAAAGGAGAATCTTACAGTTTCTACTTCATGAGCATGTGATGATTTTCTTCTAAGAATCTTCTGAAATTCTTCTGAATTTATGTCAATGTTCCCAAGTCTTCCACACTGGTTCTGTTCAGGAGAAGAATCGCAGTCTTTACTATCCTTTTTATCTGAAGAAGATAAAAATGTAAAACCACGAGAATCTTAAATATAAACCTATTAAGAAAAAAAAAGAAAAAGAAAAAATTATCACAAGCAAATATCATTGTTGCTGTCATATGTGAACCTCTAGACAAGGTCTTGAACACATTGTACAGAAGTAAAAATCAATAACACTCATAACACTTTTGTTACATTAATAGCACTGATAAACACTATTCAAATCCAACACTAGAGTGCCTGAAATTGCACAAGAGGTATTCAAGAAGACATGAATAAGGGTGTTAAAAATACACATAGATCCCTTACACAGTTTTCTGTATATTATATATTTAAATTAAATAAGTGAACAAATGTGTCAAATTATTATTTAAAATTTATTAAGGTAGCACTGACCCTTAAAACTGGGCAAATTTACATGTAGAGGAAACTGTTCAATGTGGTAAATGCCCACATTTGCTAAAAGCTTACTGACATTTAAGTGTAGAAAAACTTTAATATCTATTTTCTCAAATGCAGCTTTCACTAGGGTCACCAATTTATTAGCATAATTTTACTATTAAAGCCAATATCATCGTGAAATTTAGCACATTTGTTGATATCACACTTTTTCATAGCTTGAATTGAATTTTTTAAAAATTCAAAAATCTTTAACAGTTGTTTTGTTATGAGTCTAATTACTACTAATGAAGGCATTAATTAAAATCAATTGCCCATAGCTTGTTAACATCTCAGAAAATTTGCAAAAAATTTTTAATTCAAACTATGAGGATGTTCACAAAGAGCATGTGTACCAATTTTCATATGGTGTTAAAACAATATATGTTATGTATTTCTTTATCCCTGCTGCATTAATTATGCATATGACTGAAAGTGTACTTTCAGAGATTGTGATATCGTAGTTTTGTTTTGTGCTCAACTTGAAAGTTATATAGAAGTGTTTAAAAGTGTTTCCTCAGCATGTAAATCTGCCCAGTTTTAAGGCTCAGTACTATCTTACACAGATTTTATTCTTGTATATTCATTTCTGTTTTCATTTCTTCTAACTTGCACTATTTTATCTAACAATTTTTAAACACATAGTCTAAAATTGACCAAATACTCCTATAATAAATACACATTAAAAATAAAAACAAGCAGGTTTTATCATCAAGATTTGTTTTATGAACTTTGGCAAATCATAACATTACACTAGAATAATCATGTTGTATATATTTATTTGTCTGACAGTTCTGAATTTTAAGAAATCTACATAAAAGTATAAAAAATAAATAAATAAAACACTGAAATAAAGGGTACTTAAATTTCAAATTACAGTGATTATTATTTACAAAAAATTTATTTGGAAAGGTTGTTTTTCATTACATATATTTTATAATAAGTCTATATCTAAATAAATTTACTGTTGTGGTTTCCAATAGTAACCATAACTAACAGAAAATCTGACTTTGCTGAGATGATAAAAAAAAAGAGACAAATGTTAACTCCATCACTCCTGGATGGATGAATTTAGCCTCGATGGTAAAACTGTATAAGTGAATTAAAATAATTATAGAAAATAAACTTCAAAAATATCTTCAAGAGTTGAAATATATTTAAAAAAGAAGTTTTATTTATCTAATTTCATACATAGAAACTAAACAAAAAAATCTACTAATTTTGATTTGGGGTTGATTTCATTGTGTTTCAAATGAAATCACTATGTTTGTAACTTTCCTGAATTTTTTCTAAGCATAACCTGGCACTTGTTGCCCCATACATAGAATGTCATGATAGTTTGAACAAAATAGTGCTAATTTGAATTTGTAACTTATATACAGTGTAGATTTTTTAATTTATCAATTTTTAGTCAGTTACACTTTCTCAAAATGTACCAAGTTTCTTTTCACTGACAAAGCTGCTGTGTTCGGTCTTGTTTACATTAGGCCTTATCAGCGTAAGTAACTGTTTAAATAGGTAAAGAAAATCATCAAAAAGAAATGTAGAAAAAAGAAAAAAAGATTTAATTTAATATAAAAAGGGTTATAATTTTGGTATACCAATGACAGTAAATATTGTGTGTGGTGTTTCTCAAATAAAAACAAAGAAAAATTAACAGTTTTATAAAATAAAATCTTAGGAAAGTTTCAATAATGTAGGAAGAAATAAAAATCAATAATTAATATCTACAACAAAGTTAAGAATTTTAATTTCATAAAAATAACCCATCACAATAAAAGATTTTCAAAATTTTTAAAGCTGAGGATTTCTAGAAATATCAAAAATAAAAATGGATAATGTATTTGCAGAAGCTACATAATCTGTAAAACGTTCTTCTGGAGCTTAAAACTATTTGAACCAATGTTTGTTTTTGCAATGCACAGGTATATCAGATTAACACAACCAGGTCTGATAGAGTTAAGTAAAAAGTAAAATCAATCTTCATTCAATAAGAACAAGTCAAACGATTAGTGCATAGTACATCAAGTAGCATTTCTAGATTACAAAAAAAAAAAGATTTCTATTCTCTATCTATTCTCATGAGATCTCTGGAAATATTCTGTTCTAGAATGAAAAAGTATGAAACTATATACAAAAAACAGTGTCAATTCTCTCAGAGCATGTACCCCTGCATGGACCTAATGAACCACCATACCAATTTTGGTGAAGATTCATCCACACCCTTTGAAGTAGCTACATGGACATATGAAAAACAATACTATTGTATTTATATAGATTGTACATTAAATCAAGTGTTGCATTTAATTAATGAAAAATAAATTGGAGATTTGATGATTCATTCAAATTTTATTATTTGTCCTATATGAAAGTGGTGAGAGTTTAACTTCCAGGCATTTCTAAACTTAAACAAAGCAATGCTAGCATAGAAAGTAAATGGAGATCCAAAAATAAAACTCCACTAATGCCTAAAAATACCTAAGTAGGACACATGCTTTATGCATATGACTTGAACATAAAATAAAGTCAGTATCGCACTAAGCAGATATCCTGTACGTGAAACACTGTAAGTGCTGTAAAAACACATATGTTTGAAAATTTTTGAATATTTCACCAGTTTACCTTTCTAACCTAACACAGTTACTTAATTTTGTGCAAAGCTACTTGAGGGATATCTGCACTAGCTCCCCATAATTTTGCAGTGATATACTAGATTGAAGGCAGCTGGTCAACACCATCCACCGACAACTTGTAGGCTACAATAATTGAATAGTGGGATTGGAATTGTCACTTTTTTAATTCACCCACAACCCAATGTGTGGATTCTTTTTTTTCTTTGTAGTAACAAGATGCAAACCTCAGATACAAAGTCTGGCATGGCAACCACCAAACTGTGCTCATCCTATAAACTAATAGAGAAAAATAAAATACTTTTCCAAGTATCACACTGTAATTTGAAATACCTATTGAATGATCTCTTTCAACTCGATTTTTCACTCTTTCTTGCAGACCAGGATTTAATTTCTTTTTAACTGCATTGGGATCCTTCCTCTCCAAGCTCCCTGTTTTCTTTACAAGTTGCACTGCTTTCAACTAGGTTCAAAATAAAGACATTTAGTATATGAAGATTATGAAAACAAAACATGTCACTTAAGAGGCATTTACTTTTAAGATTAAATAATATAAAAACAGACATAAATGATTGAAAGTAATGATATCTATATTTCATTACGAAAAATAGTAGTTTGAAAAAAAGCAGCAAGCATAAAAAACAAATCTGATGGAGCTGTTGCTACTTTGGATATATTTAAAAACACAACTTAGACTGTAATATCAAATTAAAGTAAAGTAAATCTGACTTCAATATCCAGATTAGTTAAAACATTAACATTATAAAAGCTCAAGACTTCCTATTTACTATTCAGCATTGTGAAAAACTAAACTTGGAACAGAGTGACATTACTAAACAGTTTAGAGCATCAGAAGTCAGAACCTATAAGCACATTTATCGAGATACAGTTGAGTGATAAAAAGTTGTACAAGTGAAGAAAAAATTTTCAAAAAAGAAAGTAAATGTAGGGATGGCTAATATCAATTATTGAAAAACAATGCAAACAAGAAAGTAGTGATGGTATTTGAATCATTCATACATAATAATACAGTCACACAGTGTAGTAGAATGTTAACAGACAAAAATAGGATAAAATAAACTCATTTTGATTGGTTAGTTATACATATATTGCTCTACATTAATTCTCACCCATGCTATTATGTAGGAATGATGCA